ATGTTTTAATTGGGTTGTTCTTTTGGTGTTGAGGTGTATGAATATATTCTATATATTGTATTCTATATATATTGGATGTTAACCCCTTATCAGATAAATCATTTACAAATATCTTCTCCCATGCTGTAGGCTGCCTTTTTGTTCTGTTGATGGTGTCCTTTGCTGTACAGAAGCTTTTTAGATTGATGTAGTCCCTCTTGTTCATTTCTTACTTTGTTTCCCTTGCCTGGGGAGATGTATCCAGACAAAAATTGCTCAAGCTTTTGGTCAAGAGATTTTTGCCTATGTTTTCTTCTCAGAATTTTATAGTTTCATGTCTTACATTTAGGTGTTTGATCCATTTCAAGTTTATATTTATGTATGGAGTTAGACAGTAATCCAGTTTCATTCTCTTGCATGTAGCTTTCCAGTTTCCCCAACACCAGTAATTGAAGACACTGTCTTTTCCCCATTGTGTATTCATGGCTCCTTTATCGTATATTAATTGACCATGTATGCATGTGTTTCTATCTGGGCTCTCTATTCTGTTCCATAAATCTGTAAGTCTGTTCTTGTGCCAGTACCATACTGTTTTGATTACTGTCACTTTGTAGGATAGCTTGAAGTCACGGAGCATAATCCTCCCAGCTTTGTTCTTCTTTCTCAGGATTGCTTTCACTATTTGGGGTCTTTCATGGTTCCAATGAATTTTAGGATTATTTGCTCTAGTTCATTGAAAAATGCCTTTGGTATTTTGATAGGGATTGCATTGGATCTATAAATTGCTTTGGGCAGGCTGGCTATTTTGACAATATTAATTCTTCCTATCCATGAGCACGGGATAGATTTCCATTTATTTGTGTTTCCTTAATTTCTCTCATGAGTGTCTTACAGTTTTCAGAGTACATGTCTTTCACCTCCTTGATTAGGTTTATTCCTAGGTATGTTTTTCTTTTGGATGCAATTGTAACTGGAATTGTTTTCCTGATTTCTCTTTCTGTTAGTTTGTTGTTAGTATATAGGAATGCAACAGATTTCTGTGTATTAATTTTGTATCCTGCAACTTTGCTAAACCACTTATTCTAATAGCTTTTTGGTGGAATCCTTAGGTTTTTCTATATATATTATCATATCATCTGCAAATAGTAACAACTTTACTTCTTCCTTAACAGTTGGGATGCCTTTTATCTCTTTACCTTGTCTGATTGCTGTGGCTAGGATCTTCAGTACTATGGCAAATAAAAGTGGTAAGAGTGGACATCTTTGTCTTGCTCCTGATCTTAGAGGAGAAGCTTTCATCTTTTCACCATTGAGTATCATGTAAGCTGTGGGTTTGTCATATATGGCCTTCATATGTTGAGGTACATACACTCTACCCATTTTGTTGAGTTCTTATCATGAATGGCTGTTGAATTTTGTCAAATGCTTTTTCAGCACCTATGGAGATGATCATGTGATTTTTGTCCTTCTTTTTGGTGACGTGGTGTATGATGTTGATGGATTTTCAAATATTGTACCATCTTACATCCCTAGAATAAATCCCACTTGGTTGTGATGGATAATTCTTTTGATGTATTTCTGAATTCAGTTTGCTAATATTTGATGAGGATTTTTGCATCTATGTTCATCAGGAATATTGGTCTATAATTTTCTTTTTCTTGTTTTTTCTTTTCTTTTTGTAGTGTCTTTGTCTGCTTTTGGTATTAGAGTGATGCTGGCCTAATAGAATGACTTTGGAAGTATTCCCTCTTCTACTTTTTGGAGTACTTTAAGAAGGATGGATATTAGGTCTTTAAATGTTTGGTAGAATTCAGCTCTGAAGCTATTTGTTTCTGGACTTTTGTTTGTTGGGAGTTTTTTGATTACCAATTCAGTTTTGTTACTGGCAGTTGTTCTGTTCATACTTTGTTTCTTCCTGTGTCATTCTTGGAAAGTTGTACTTCTCTAGGAATTTGTTCATTTCTTCTAGGTAGTCCAATTTATTGGCATATAATTTTTGGTAGAATTCTCTAATAATTCTCTGTATTTCTGTGGTATCTGTTGTGACTATTCCTTTTCCATTTCTGATTTTGTTCATGTGTGCCCCCAATTTTTTTTCTTGATAAGTCTGGCTAGGGGTTTGTCTATTTGTTTATCTACTCAAAGAACCAGCTCTTGGTTTCAATGATTTTTTTCTATTGCTTTATTCTTCTCTATTTTATTTATTTCTGCTCTGATCTTTATTATGTCCCTCCTTCTACTAACTTTGGGTTTCATTTGTTCTTCTTTTTGTAGTTTATTTGACTGTATGAGTTTAGACTGTTCAGGCTTGTTCTCGTTTCTTCAGGTAGGCCTATATTGTTATGTAGTTCTGTCTTAGAACAGCTTTTGTGGTGTCCTACAAATTTTGGACTGTTGTACTTTTTGTTTTCCTTTGTCCCCAGGTATTGCTTGATTTTTGCTTTGATTTGATCACTCATCCACTGATTATTTAGAAGCATGTTGTTTAGCCTCCTTGTTATTTGTGGGCTTTTTTGTTTTCTTCATGTAATTTATTTCTAGTTTCATACCACTGTAGCCTGACAGGTTGCTTGATAACAATTCAATCTTTTTTTATTTATTGAGGGTTTTTTTGTGACCTAGTATGTAATCTATTCTGGAGAATGTCTCATGTGTTTGTGGGGTTTTTTGTTTTCTTTATGTAATTGATTTCTAATTTCATACCATTGTGATATGAAAAGTAGATTGATACAATTTCAGTCTTTTTGAATTTACTGAGGATCTTTTGTGTCCTAATATGTGACCTATTCTGGAGAACATTCCATTTACACTTAAGAAAAATGTGTATCCTGCTGCTTTTGGGTGGAATGTTCTGTTGATATCTGTTAAGTCCACCTGATTTAGTGTGTTGTTCAGTGCCTCTGTTTCCTTATTTATTTTCTGTCTGGTTCATCTACTGATGTAAGTGGTGTGTTGAAGTTCCCTAATATGACTGAGTTGCAGTCTATTTCTTCCTTTAGTTCTGTTAGTACTTGTTTTACATATTTAGGTGCTTCTATGTTGGGTGCATAGATATTTATAATGATTATATCCTCTTCTTAGACTGATCTGTTTATCATTATGTAATGTCCTCCTTTGTCGCTTGTTACTTTCTTTGTTTTGAAGTCTATTTTGTCTGATGTGACAACATTTCACACCAGTTTTCTATGTGGTCTTCTCTTCTTCCCCAGGTGTAGATGGTCTGTTCTGTAACCATTTCCAAGGTTAGCTGTTTTTGCTATAGTTGTGTCCTTGGTGTGTATGTGGGAGGAAGTTTCCGCCTTGCCTTCCTACTCCGCCATCATTTTCCTCCCAGTCTCCCTTCTTTTTGGATGCAAGTGACATGATGAAGATATTATCATCAATTGTTTTGTTTTTGTTTTAACTTCTCCCTGCTCTTCAAGTGCTTTTTCATGGGTTGGCTGGTTGGTTGGTTTCAGTCTCTTTCATGTTAGAGACTTTCCTCAGATTCCTGGAGAACAACTAGAGGGTGGGTGCTGATGCACATGTTGCCCTCTGCTTTGTGTTCTGTAATGTGCTTCTGGTCCAGGAACCCCATTTTACCCTTCCCAGACACTAAACTTACATTCCTTGATTGAGACAGAGAGTAGAACACACCCAAAAAATTATTTAGGAAAGGTATGCAGAAGGTATTTAGGAACCTAACTTCTTCTTAAATACCTTCCCAAATAACCTGATTTTAGCCCACTCATTTTTATTCCTACTTTCCTAAAGTCTTTAAGGATTCTGCATTCTAAATTGGGCTAGTTCTTGACTTTCTATATTGCTGACTTTCTAGGTCAGTTACTTCACATCCAAGGGCTGTTTTCATCTCCTCTGTTGCTCTCTCTATGAATGTATGCCCCCCCCTTCTTTTTAATGGAAGGTGCACTTGTTCTGTCTACCACCTCTCTTTTATCCTCTCCCATCCATCATTTCAACTAATTAGGCTAATTGCTGAATTCAGGATCTCTCAAATACAATACATAGTTCTGCTTCCAATTGTCTGGATAATGGAGCCACCACTCTTTCTACCTGTCAGCATCCAAGAATATGAATAATTTTAATAATTATTTATTTTGTCATAAAAATCCCTTCTTTCATGGAGATCTAGGGTTTGTTTGTTTTTTTATCTTCAGTACATATTTTAGAAGTCCTACTTTGTATTCCTTTGTGAAGAAACAAAGATAATGAGATGTGGTCACTGGACTCAAAGAACTTCCAGTGTTGGCAGGGAAATGTATATAGAAGGCTGACTAAGAGATGGTGATGGCGGTGATAATGACAATGACAATAATGAATGAAAAATTGTAGCTAACATTGTTGAATTATAGTTTCTGTTGACCACTGTGCTCAATACTGTGTTCTTCCATTTAATCCTAACTACTCTATGAAAAAAGTACTATTATAATTATTATTTTGCACATAAAGAAATGAGTATTGAGGGAACATAACTTTTTCAAGGCACTATATATAATAAATGTATAAATCAAGTAGTAAGAGAAATTTATGCTCTTAATTTCTTAAAGGGCCAGAAAAATTCATGCTTAACTTGAAAATCAAAGAAAGATTGAAAAAACTGTTTTCAAAATTTGCTCCTTTTGGATTCCCTTCAATGTCACCACCCACCAGGCTCTTTTCATCCCACCATGTAATTGAAAGGATCGACTCTTAGCAAGACTCTCTGCACCTAACCCTTTTAATTTTCCCTGCTTGCTGCTAACACCTGAGGCTTCCTAATATATTGTTGCCATCTTGTCATTTGCTGGTCAAGAGCCCACGCCCTTTGCCAAAAGTGTCATGTTCAGTCTTTGGGGACTACTTTCAAGGGCCTCAATAACCTGGTCACATATGCCATATCCATCCCCAAAATCCACAACAGGGGTCTCCCCATTGTCTTTTGCACAAGACACAATCCTTCCTGTCCTTTTGCTTTTACTAGAACTGTCCACTCTGCCTAACTAATTTGTACCCATCTCTCCTGGCCCCATTTTCCCATGGAGCCTTCCCTGGCAGCTCGACTGCACTGGGATTGCTTTTCTCAAATTTCCATGATGCTAAGCCAAGATTGACTTCACCAGCCACCGAGTCCTCACCATGTACAACCCAGTGTAATGTCAGTGCTTTCTTCCCAACAAATTTGTCATGTACCTAAGGCATCAGCAAAGCAGGTATATTTTCTACTTTGAAATTTTTTTCTTTTGAAAGAATTTATTATTTCAAAAAGTCATCCTGGTTAAAAAAAAATAGAATTTCTTTGAAGTGTCTTATTTTATGGATATTGTTTTTGTTTTGATACATGATCCTTATAGAGTGCCTATAACTTATAAAATTCTTACTCCATCTCTGGATATTGTTTCTGTCTTAGAAGATTCTTGGGAAATAGACCATATTTTATACTTTTTGTATAATTATAGCTTGTGCCCAAGATAGACACTCATTTAAGATAAGGTATTTTTCATAAAAATTATGCTTAATATATTCCTGAGGTAACAAACTATAATGTAGGATTACAATTCATTGAATAGTAGATGTCATCGATTGTAACATGTACCATTATCTTATACACTACAAAAACAGAAAACAATGCCACCAATTTAAACATGAAGTGCCAAATGATTGTAAGATGCATTTCAATTTCAGAGATGTTACAGGGTTAATGAATATATGCACATCTTAGATTTGATTAAATATGCATGTTGTTTTATAATACTATACATTGGTATTAAGCATCTTAAAATCTTCTATGATATTTTTATACCATCTATATGCAAGTCACTGTGTCAGGAGATACAACATATGGATAAACAATGATAAAACCATGACTCCTCCTTACTGAAAGTTTAAAGATTAATGGAGAGCACATTATAGAAAAGAATTACTGTAATTCAAGGCAGAAAGTGGTCAGAGCCATCCAAGAGGTTAAAAATTCTTCAGAAATTAAAAGAATGGAGGAATTACCTTTAGTTGGGATTTTTAAAAAATATCTTCATGAAGGAAGTAGTGTGTGAAATAAGTTCTGAAAGATCAGTAGAATTTTGCAAAATGTCAGTGGACATGGAGGCATACCAAATGGGGGAGATAGTATGTCCAAAGGCATAGAAACAAAATACAGCCATGTTCAGAAAACAGTGAAAAATCCAGACTGGCTGGAAAAGGAGTGGCTAGAGGAGTTTCAGAGATCATCTAGGAAGGCCGTTGTTGCCATGTAGTGAAAGGCCTTGAATTCTTAGCTGAGCATATTAGTGACTTGGTAGACATGCAGAATCACTTGAGACTTCTTAACGGGAAGGGCTTGCTCAAAGCTACTGTTTGCATGGCTGGCTCTATGTCATCCTTTGGATTCCAGTTTAAATGCTACCTCTTCAAAGTTCCATCCCTCACCCTAGGGAGATTCTCACTATAACTCTGAATTGCCACATCCAACTGGTTTCCTACGAAGCACATTAGTTGTAGTATGTGTCTACCAACTACATGGCAAGTTCCAAGTTCTTTAAACACCAAGTAATACAGAATATTTACTCTTTTGCACATAAGGCTGTTATTCTTTAGGACACCCAACACAGCATCTTATTTACTCCAGTTTCCTAGTGCCTGGCACACAGTATGAGTTCAATTATTTGTTGACTGAATAATACTTCACCCTTTCCTGATTCCTCTTTGTCACACTGCCTTCGCCTGAAGGGCATTCCCACCACACCCTGACATCATTATTTTTCCATCTACAGTGGTTCTTCCTCATCTTTCATTGACTGTCTTGTTTGAGTACCACCATCCCAGTTACACAGCCTCCCAGTCATGAACCTCCTCAGGTTTTGTCTGTGCTCCTTTGATGGCATTATTTGTACCCTGCATAACATTTCAGTGATTTGTACACTAAGTCTGTCTCCTTGCCTACCTCAACTAGATGCTTAGTTCCCTGAGAGCATGGACTTTGCCTTTCTGATGTCTTTCTTACCAGATAATATTTGAGTTGAATTATGAGTACTGTGGTAAAAATAAAGAATAACAAATTGTGTGACATTTGGGCATCATTTTAGATTTTAAGGAATTAGTCAACAATAAGAAATAATTCCAAGTGAAAAGACATTGCTGACAGGATTATAAAATTGTATTACTAAAAGGATATAACCATTCCAATATTTTAGATAAATTTGAGGCCAAATTCATTATCTCAAGGTGTAGTTTACTATAAGCATTTCTCAAAAAAGTTGTGCCTGTATATAGTGAATTATTCTAATAATCACAGAGAAGTTGCTAAAAATTTAGACATTGCTTTACTGTCTCAAATTCTATATACATCATTATTTTCATTATGAGTTAAACTATTTTCTAAATTATGTATTTTATTGAACTATTGTAAATGTATTCACTGAACTCTGATTGATAATGTCTCTGAGAAGCACATTCTTTGAATTACTTTTTTGCCTAATTGAAACTTTACCCATCAGAGAAGAGGTATATTATTATGTAATATTTATCAACAACAATAAATAATGACAGTAGCTTTTGGTTATTGAAGAGTTTCAGCACGCTTCCCTGTGATAGGCAGCTTACATGCTGTGCCATTTAAATCTCACTACAACCTTATTTTATAGAGGAAAACACTGAAATTTGGGCAAATTGTTAATTGCTAAGTGTCAGGAGCTGGGCTGCACACCCAGGCCTGGCACATGTTCAAGCCCTCACCTGCCTGGGCAGACTGTCCAGGCCGGAAGCTCCATACCCCCCACATCACTGCCTGCAACCCCTCAGGAAATGCTTCCTGCTCTCACTCTCAAGGTGCAACTTAGTTGCAGAAAGGAGGCAACTGGCAGACCTCAATTTCTAATTTTTTTTTGTATTTCAGAGAGAGAAGTTAAACTTCTAGAGAAAAGTAATGGACAATCTCCACAACAGGTAAGCTATTTTCTTTTCCTTCTTCTGCCTTGGGAAAATAATCTATTCTCTCCACTTTCTATTAAATTTTCTATTACTCAGTCTTTCAGTATAGTTTTTATTACCTAAAGCATTAAAACCAGTAGAAGGAGCAATCCCCAATGTCTTTTTCTTTCTGGCTCATTCAGGTTAAAGCAGAATTCTGTGCTTTCCTTCTAACTTTTGTTGTTTGGGGATACAATTTTAAAACCTGTGAGATGAAGCATGAGCCAGCTCCGGCTTCATGCTGGAGGATTTACAATGAGAGCTGGCACAGAAGCCAGCATGTTGCCTTGTTTGAGGTGAGGTAGAAACGTGCACAACAGGCAACTCAAACATGTTGCCACTCCACACATGCCCACAAATGACTACAAAAGCACAGTGAGTATTAATTTGGGGACTATAAATAGATTTTAGCAAGTAGATGAATTCACAGCTATGGAATCTACGAATAAAGAGGCCTGACTGCACATATAAAGCACGTAGATTAATGCCTGGTGCATAGGAAGCTCTGTGTAAGTTTGATATTTTTAGTCATCATCTTCATGATTATATGTTATTAAATATCCTGAGGACGTTGGGCACCTGTGAGAAGTTTTAGGCAGGAGGAATGATATGATTCAGAGTCGTGTCCTAGAAAGCTCATGTGCCTCCCATGTGGCAAACATATCAGGAGACACAGGTGGGTACAGATGACAGGATGTTGCAGTAATTCAGGAAAGAGAGTGACTAGCACCCAGTGGTTAAAGAATATCCCAGACAATGACCATCAATAAGAGAGCAGTCAACATTTATTAAGAACCTATTACTTGTCAGGTATGCTTTGCCAGGCCCATGACATGTTTAAATCATGTGACCCTCACAGAAGCCCTGCGAGGTTAAGTGTTACTGTTTTCCCCATCTACTGGCTGGTAAAACTGAGAAGTTAAGCCTCTTAGGATCACACATTTATTTAGAACAAGCCAATCCAGGTTTTAACTCCAGAGCCCTCTCCCTTAGTTACAGCTCTCGACTGTCTTCTGTATACTGGAGTTTTAAGTTCTTCCTCCTCTTTGAAACCATGTGATTGTATACATGTGGTTCGACCACTCCTTCTGGTAACATGTCAGTAAAAATGAAAGTGATCATGTACCAAGGCCACAGGTGTTTCTGGTGTTTTTAAGCAGAGACCCTACTAAAGAGGGATGCTGAGCTCCCTCTGTAACTTGAACCAGTGTCAGGTAGGTCAGCCCAACAGGCTGAGCCGTTTTATCAGGTGACGCTGTTGCCATGACCATCAGAAGCGTGATGGAAGGAGGTTGCTGACTCCCACAGACAAAGGCATAGAACTGCATGTGCTAAGTGAAGACACATCATCTTCATTTCAGATTTTAAAAATCTTCTCAAATAAACTATGTTCGCATTATCTAAGGATTCACCAAAGTACACTTGCTCCTATTCCCGGAGACTAAAAGCCATCCGAAAGGTCATGGCCTGGCCCGCATCTTCAGGTGCCGTGTGATGAGCCCTGAACCACGGGCTTCGTTTGATTTTCAGTGACAGTCTGTTGGTTCATCAGTGAACAAGATTCTACCCAGGCAGAATTTGGGGAAAACGTCTAATCCCATATCATTGATGAAATCTGTCATTGTAACTGAGATTATGTGTGTGAGGAGTTGAGCTGTATGTAGGGTGTTATAGGCCACTTTCTCTTCAGTGCTGTTTTAATTTGCACGACTTCCCCAACACATACTTCAGAAGCACACTGATGAGCACGTGGTGACATCTGCATTACCACCTCCAAGGGTTTAGGTATTCATCTTCAACTGTTGAATTGGAGCCTCAGTGAAGCATTTAGGGGCATATTAAAAATTAACTTCCTGGCGCTAGCTTGATAATAGGGAATGAATTAATGTGGCCTGCCACCTATGCTAATAATAGGGAATATCTTCTGCATCTTAGCAGACATGAAGAACACTGAAATTTATTTGTTAACCACTGTTAATCACATCCATTAATGATCCTGAGCATTTTCATGAGATACTGAAAATGGTGTGAAGGTCCTTATGTCCTCTATACTTGCTCTGGTGGTAATTTTAGAATATATACAGGAAGGGTTTAGGGGCTTGGAAGGCAAGATAGGAGACCTGTCTGGAAGTTACACTGCATAGCAAGCAGACCAGTTTTGGGTGGAAAGGGAAAAGGACTGGATGAGGATGACAGAGGGCTTCCCCAACCACTGTTGACATCCTCCCATCCCACCCCCCCATGACCTGCCTACGTCAGGCATGCAGCAGGCAGCAACATGCACATTATATATACCAATTTTTGCCAATATCAATTCCAACACTGATGTATGTTATGTAGTAACTTAGCTAGAAAGTCTTTGGCCAGGATATTGTTTGTATTAGGCAAGGTCCAATCAGAAATGGGAATTCCTCCTTTCAAACAGAGGGAAGTTATAGCCTGCATGTAGGGTTAGGCAGGTATTAGAAGAGCTGGGAAACCACAGGAGATAGTGAGGCAATGCAGAGCTGGTCAGGGCAGGATGTCACCATCCTAGGGTGAGACAGAACCAGCTGCTTAGGCCATGCTGAGGCACCATAGCACCAGGGAGGGCAGGGCTGCTGGCAGAGGAGATACAGCCACTCCCAGGATGGACCAGACACTGTCCAAAGCAGGGAGAAGGGTAGGAATGCTGGCTTTTCCCATCTTCCCCCTCTAGTCTAATACCAGCACCTTCCATCGGTGGGATCTCCTGCATCCAGAGAGCAGGGGTTCCTCAGCATTATGATGCCCTGGGGAACTGAGCAAGAGAAGGCTGATCTGAGAACAGACAGGCAGTGGACCAGCGTGATGCCTTAGGTTGTTCCACTGTGCCCCACCTAGCAAGCTCTTAGGTTGTTCAGATTGATCCTGTCTTACTAGACATTGGTTATTTTAACTTTTCCTTATGACAACCCCTAACAGAGAAGGATAAAAGACTGAACATAAACTAGAAAGTGTTTTAAAGCAAATTCTACAAACTAAACACAATTTTTGGAAACTTTAAGAGGATGGGAAAACTGTACTGTTAGAAATGGGATTGAGGACAGTGACTACAGGTTTTAGTTTCTGACCAAATCATGTTCTGACCAGCATAAAATTATATTCTGGCCAACTTGGTTTGGGCCACATCTTTTGTCACCGAAAGGGGCCAGTGGTGATAGTAGCTACCTTGCTATTTGCCAGGATCTCCCCAAGCCACAAGTGGTCTTAGGATGTTAGTCCTCCCCTCAACCCAGCAGCAGCACAGCAAAGCAAAGAGGCCTGGACTGCCGTGACCTCCTTACCGCAGTAAAGCAGTGGTTCTCAAAGTGTGGTCCCCAGGCAGTAGCAGCATCTCCTGGGAGCTATTAGAAATGCAGGCTATCAGGCCCCACTCAGACCCAGGGAGATTCATTCCATACACTCCATGCCCTCTGCTCCTCAGTACGTCTGCCAGGATCCCTGGCACGCACACACCCATCTTTACTCAATAAATAATGGATTGTACCTCGCCTGCTCCAGACAAGAGCTTACTCCCAGAGTTAACAGGGCAGAGGAAAGGGGCGCAGCTTCTCAAGCATTTTCCCTAAAACAGTTCCCACCAGGGGCACAGGAGGACCAGGTAACTGGTGAGGTATCTAGAGGGCTGACCACAAGCTATTAACAGAACTCAAAATTTCTGTAATGCCTTTTGTTTAATTCTAATAATTCATGAAAATTTTGGCTTTTCAAGCACACGATACACTGAATTTACTTTAAATAAAAATGAGCTTCTTCCCCAAAAACCTTGGTCTATATGTATTTTTGTCACTTGCCTTTATCTCTCAGTTCATGGCCACATGCCCTCATCTGGAAGGTGGGGCTCCAACAGCAGCCAAACGGACAGCATATCTAAGCTGGGGGAGGAACTGGACCCCTCTCCACCCCACAGGCTCTTTCTTCCCCCAGCCTCTTCCATAAAATTGTTGTCCAGACATAACAGGTGGGAGAAAGCAAACCAGACCCTCCTGTTTGTGGGTTTGGTGAGCAGTCATTGTGTCACCAGAGGCCTCTATAGAATTGCAGGAGCCTTTTGACCTTGACCCCACCATGTTCTGTACAAGAATAAACTTTACGCCTGGCCAGAGCTGGAGGAGGCCCTGCCATATGGTGGCGCCATGGCCACCAGGACTTAGACGTGACAATAACTGTTTGGAATATTTACCACATCACCTACTCCTTAACATTGCCTCAAGACAAAGCACCTACCCTGTGTTTGCCAAATCTCATTTCTGACGCCTGTGCCAATCCAAGTCCTTCCCTTGAAATTAAATAACCGCTGTATACTTCCATCTGGTGGTCAATCCCTGAAATTACACCTTAAAATTCTGTCACGGTTCAAGATCGTTCCCTTCTGCAAAAGTTACTGTATCACAGGCTGTTTCTTATTGCGTAATCGGTGGACTCAGAAAACAATAGAACCTACCAAGACAGAAGCCAGGAAATACTACTACTAATAAAAATTATAACAGCATTTATAATAGCTATACTATACCATTTTCTAACTTCTACCTCCATTTACTTATCTATGAAATACTGGTTCTCACTTTAAAGAAGTATTGTAAAGCTGAAATGAATGAATAGAAAAAAATTCCTAAAGCAGTATTTGATACATAATAAATCCTCAAATGTTAACTACATTACATTCATTCAGAAGTACTGGCAGTATGCCAGACATTAAAGCAAATGCCTTACATACTTTTATCATTAATGTTCAAACCAATCCTGACTAGCAGGCACTGTATCATTCCCATTTTGCAGATTAGCCATCTGCAGCTCACAGAAGCTGAGAAATTTGCGTAGATGTTGCCAAGCTAGTAAGTGCTACTAAAGCTAATAATTCTAGAGGTAGAATTGCAACCCACAGCTCTGGCCCCACACTCCTCTAACCACTGAACTGAATGCCGGTGCAGTAGGATGAAATACTCCCAGTGTCTATATAAATTCCATCCTGCTCCACACCTTTACCCAAGCTCAATGCACACACATGCACATGCACACACAGACACACACACACACACACACACACACACACACATTCACACTCATGACTCAGTTCTCTCAGGGAGCACCCAGGATGCCATTGTTTCCCAGAACCTAGCACAGTGCCTGGTACATACCAAGGGTTCAGTGGTGAGTTGTGGAGTCAGTGAAGATGCTGTGTGATGACTGTGACCATTCATGAAACATCTGTCCCAAGGACAGAAGACTAATTACTACATCTGAAAAGAAAAACATGGTGTCAGATCTTGAAAAGAAGACAGAGCCTATGAAATGTTTCCAAGTTCCACCAAATGATTGCAATATACTAACATTAGGATGAGAAGAAGAAAAAAAAACGACTGACAGTATCACTATTGTAAAAAAACTTTTCTTTCCACATTCAACACAGACATCAAGGGTCCTGTGCCCCAGCAGCAGTGAAGTCGTGGGACCAGAACCCGGCTGGCTCCTCAGAGTTCATGCAGTGGAAGCACCATAGGAGCAGTGTAGATGCCCTCCTCGGGCAGGCCCTCCAGCAGGGCCGGCCGGGAAAGGCCAGGCAGGCAGCGCTTGAAACGGTGCGACTCAAGCGGGCCTAGGGCAGCCTTTCATAGAGAAATACCAATTTCAACCCCGTCATTTCACCCTCAGAGTCTGATTCCTTTGCTCCTGAAAACTTAAATTTTACATGATTACCTTTTAAATGCAAATATACCAGGAGGCTAAGGGTCACAAGCCAATACTGTGGGACCCACCAGCTACCCTCTAGCCCAGTAGCCTGCACCTCCCCCTAATCCTCAGCAGGCAGACCTCCCCATCCCACCCCACCCCCAAGTCCTGTGACCTGAGCCCACCTCCCTCCCAGGGACTTGCTGTCATACACACACACTCTCCCCATCTGCAGGCCCCAGCGCCTTGGTCAGTGGTGCCCCTGGCAGAGAGGCTGAGGGGACCTCCCCCACAGAGCTGAGACCTGAGGGCATGAGCTAGGGAACTTGGGGCCTGAAGGAGGAAGCAGGAGGAGAAACTTTCGTTCAGTCAGTATCATGATTTGGGGTGAGTGTGGACTTGGGACTCAGACACACCTCAGTGGTTTGGCGATAGGGCAGTTTGCAAACCACTGAGCGGGGTTCCCCACCTGCAGAAGAGTCACACTGAAGCCTGCCCTGCCTCTCTATTCAGTGAGATAACAGTGTGTGGGCCAAGTTGACCAGAGGGTCCGTGACGGAAGTTCACGCCACTGGTTCACCATTTAGATGGTTAGATTTGGAAGAGAACCTTGATGTCATGGACTCATTCTGCAGATAAAGAGACTAAGGAATCAAGAGATTACACAACTTCCCCATGTCCTTGCAGCTGGTGATGGAGCCACTGCTAGGAGGCAGCCTTCTTACAGCTGGCACTTCTTGACCTGGCTGAGTTCACTCAAACACCACATTACACTTTAAGTTTGGGGCACAAAACTCCCCCTGATTATTAGGACCGACATTTCAACAGTTGTTCCCAAAATACTTCACAAAACACAAGTTTTGTAGGTTGTTATTGAGGCTTTGGGGAAGGAAGGGGAGTTCTATGGCCTAATAAATTGGGGAAATACTGGGTTAAACAAGGTGAAATAATTCTTTTTTATAACCATTTTAAATGTTCATCTTAATCTCTGCTGTTCACAAACCTATTTGGCCAGAAAACGCTTTTTGGAGGGAAACCCTGTGAACACATCTCTGCACATACATAAATACCCATCTCATCAAACCCAGTTCCAGGTGATGCTAATGTTTATTGTAGGATGTTGACATAAAATGGACTATTTGATGATGGTGATAATATAAGGTCTTCAAATAGCCTTTCAGGTTCTCTGAAATCACTGAAGCTCAGCCTTGTAAGGAGAAAAGGAAATATACTGAAAAATAGTTCTCAAAGCCTGCTGGTAAAGGAAGAAATGGTTCTGCTGAGGGTCTGGATTGGGTAGTCAAGAACTTACTGTGTCTTTTTTTCAATTACCTATTCGGTACTGCCTGTGAAGTTGGGCAGGCGGTCTCCCATTTCTTCCAGAATGCCTGGTAGTTATTTTTATTCATTCCTCTTGAACCCAGGTGCTCTAAATCCAGAAGCAACTCCCTAAATGTTTGTTGACTTCACCTGTTGACAAGGTTACTTTCAATCCCAACTGTTTTCTAAACATTAGCCAGTTGGCTTTTCAAACAGAGCTGATGTGTGTTTAATTTTATCGTTACTCTCTTCCACGAACTCCAAATTCCATAAACCGAAACCGCTTCCCAGCAGCTGCTTTTAAAGCTCACTGACCAGGAGGACCCTTGAAGAAGAACTTCGTGGATCCTTGCCAATGGCTTAACAGAGGTTTTGCTGGTTCCCAGGCCGGGGAGGAGGAGCCGGGGTCCCCGCCATCTCGCTCAGCCGGTGGGCCTGTCTCGTCACTCGGGACCACCGGGTAGTGTGAGAACTGGTCTCGGAGAGGGGTAACCTTAGGCTGGAATAACTTAGACAAACCCGTCGTCACCGTCACTCACCGGGCAGTGCTTCGTTTTGAGTGACAAGCGAGAAGGGCTCCGCACGCGCCGCCGCTGCCCGGGGTCGGGCGCCGCCTGCGAGGAGCTCGTGCTGGGAGAGGCGGCGGACAGCCGCCCACTGGCCGCCGACGGACCGGCGCCCGCCCCCTCCCTGGAGGGGGGCAGACTACGGCAGGAGCCGTGGCTTCGCTCCAGAGCTCCGGCGCCGCGGGCTGGGGATGGAGGAATGGTCCCCAGGACGTCCTCAGAACGACAGCTGCATCCAGGCGGCCGGCGGGTTCTGGCGAGCTCCGCTCCGGGGCCTTTGCCCGCGAGCAGCTTTCTAGGCAGCGGCGGTGATTTCCTCCCGGGGCTCGCTCCTAACCCAGGACAAGAACAAGCACTAATATTAGGTTAGGAAGAGATTTTTTTTTTTAACTTCCCATATTTTCTTGTAATTTTGACATTATGTCAGACTTTCAGAAAAGTTGCAAAAGTACAAAAGAACCCCTATATACCCTCTACTCACAGTTCCCACCTGTTAGCATTTACTACTTTTCCTTTCTTTCTTTATGTACACACAATTTTTTTCTGAATTATTTTAATAAGTTGCAGATACTATGCCCCTTACACCTAAATACCTCACTGCATATTTCCTAAGAAAAAGGGCATTCTCATATAACTCCAGTGCACTGATCCAAATCAGGAAATTAACATTGATTTAATACTGTTCTCTAATCGACAGGCCTTATTCCAATTTCACCAATGGTGTCAATAATGGCCTCTTGGCAAAAAAACAGTGCATGACATCCACTTGTCATCTCCTTCATCTCCTTGAATCTGAAATAGTTCCACAGTCTTTGTTTTTCATAATAGCACTTTTTAAAGAGTACAGACCAGTAGTTCTGCAGAGTATCTCCTCAACTTGGGCTTGACCAGTGTGGCTCTAGGCTTCAAACTCGGTTCTGCTCATTCAGCAGGAAGCTCAGAGAAGTGCAGCTGAGCTGAGGGCATCATCAGGGCACATGCTCTGGGTTAGTCCCCTTCCTGGAATCTTACCTTTGACCGTTTGATCCAGGTGCTCTGTGCCAGGTTTCTCAGCTACAAAGACACTGTTTTGCCCCGAAGCATATGATGGGGAAATACTTGGAAACTAACTGTCCCGTTCTCCTCAAACTTTGACCCACTAGTCTCAGCATCCATTGATAATTCTTGCTCGAATCAACTATTGTTATGATGGTTGTCCATTGGTCATTTTTCTAGTTCCTTGTATGGTAGCAAAGCTCTCCCTTTTTTTATAATTGTAACAGTGTGGATTCATATATCCTTGTTTCATTCAGTGGATTGCAATCCTTTTTATCACTAGTGTTTATTTTGGTGCTCCAGTTCCAGATTTGGCCAGTAGAACCTATATGGGTTGGTTCCTGTGTCCTTTTGACCTGTCCCTGTCATTCTTAAGCCCATTACTATTCAAAGGCAGCCCTTTCTAGCTGGTTTGAAACTTTTCAATGTTTCCTTGACTTCCTAATGAATAGTCAGTTTCTGTGCCTCCTTAGAAAACTCCTGTTTTCCATGGCCTCCCCCTTCCCTCACCCTCTACTACAAGGCACTTGTGAAACAGGATTTTCCAGCAAGGAGACTTGATTAGTAATTGACAGGGCATTAGTGTGTCCACCTTCAAACACAGGGCTGTTTAACTTCATCCCAAAACACAAGACAGAGTCAACTGCCAGCATAGGCAGGCGCCAGTGATGGACACACCATCCTAATGGTATTTGCTTTTTCCCTGTGTAAACCAGATGATGCTGGCAAAGGATTTGCCCTTTGCTTTTCTGTTGCTTTTTTATACTCCAGAGAGAAAGTGCATTTTGATTCTGCTCAGTAATAAAGGTCACCTGACAGCTGAGTTCCCCCTTGAAGCTAGCTGTTGTCAAAGTGTGGGGTGGAGAGGAAGCAGGCTGACTGCCCATTTGACTCAATCCGACTTTAGAAGAGCATGTTTGTTTTTCTCCCATTTCCATGTGTCATGCTGGACAAGGAGTATTTCATTCTTGCACCTGGAAATGGGAGAACTCTGTAAAAGCAAGATGTGAATGTGGGAGTGACATATGAAAAGAGAAAGAAACTGATTTGATAGGAGGGATAGATGATTGCAGATAGAGCAGGGGGGTGCTGGGTGTAAATGCATTAGTCCCCACCCTTTTCGGTGTCAGTGGTCACAAACCTTGGATGTCAGAGCTTAGAGCCGTCTTATTGAGAGAAGGACTGTGACTGGGGAAGGAACCCTCAGGGGTAAGGTGAGAGGAGGCCGACAGTCTAACCAGGAAGAGGCTGCATCCCAGGCTGGGAGGTGCCAAGCTAGGCCCTCAGGTAGGAACCAGGTCTAGAGGAAACCCCTGTGCTGTGCCCTAAAGGGAAGCAAGTAGGAGATGGGCCAAACTGGGAATTTGATCCTGAAAGGAGAAAAACAGCAAAATGTCCTTTATAACTACATTTCTTTGAAGAAAAATACTGATCCTGGGGTCGGGGGAACGTAAAAGCCACAAAAGGCATGTAAATTCTGTAAGAACCAGGGAAGCATGGGTCTGCGTTGCCTCTTAAATCTGTGTGGTAGTCACACTTGAGTGCCTGTTGCTTATGTGGCCACGGCCACAGCAGAGCCTGGGACAGACTCTAGCTCCAGCCTGGTGGGGGTCGACTTTGGTCAACAGCTGGGAGCACAAGGCATCATGCAAGGCACGCCCTTTCCTCTGTTCCTTCCCACTTCTTTCCCTCCCTCCCTCCTACCTTCCTCCCAGAAAACCTTTTCCATCTACACCTCTCGGGCTCACCCTCCTGAAGCTGGCCCGGCTGGTGTTTCTCAGTGATTACTCTTTCACAGCTGTCTCCATTACCTTAGGGTGGCCCAGAGTTGGCCCTCTCTCATACCCTTCAAAGCCTTTTTTTTTTGCCCTTTTCTTTCTTTTTGCCCCTATCCTCCTGGGTGATTTTTTTTTAAAAAAACAGAGTCCAAGATAAACAAAGGTATTGCAAGCTGGAAAGGGGCAGGATTTTAGAGCAGATTGTGGAGTGGGAGGGGGATAAAGGCGGGGATGAGAGGTGAGGGGGTGCATGCTGGCTGGCACTTTTTATCTATCCTACAGATGTATGGAGTGTTAACCAAAAATGGGTATAAGTGGGGAACAGAGGCTGGGAACAAAATCCTGGGCTTTGGGAAGGGGGCCGTTTGATTGAGAGTGCTCTGAGAAAGGAAAAGGCTGCACGCAGGTACTGCTGGCTAGGCCCCAGGGATTTCTCCCTCTAGGGGATGTTTGTTGCACTCAGGACTTTAACATCTGTCAGTTGGGGCCACAGATAATATAAATACACAATTCTGCCCTTAGTCCAGGAACAAGTGTTACTTGGTATTGTTAATGCTCTGGTTTGTATGTGTGTCGTGGCAACTGGATTACATCTTAGGTGCAGGGCCTCTGCCTTTTCTGTTTTCTAATGTGCTGTATCCAAACAGGGCTGAGCAATAAGTATATGCTTACTATCAATATTAACTCATATAATCCCCAACAACACTATATGGTAGATATGTCATTATCCCTGTTCACAGGTGAAATAGCTGACACATAGCCAGTAAGAGGCAGAGCTGGGCTCTGAACCAGATGATCCAGGTAAATCTCTCCATTTCAAATCTGTAATCACACCTGCAAAGATTTTGGGGGTGGGGGTGGGGGTGGGGGTCATTATGAGGTAGCATTCACAAATTCCAGAGATTAGAATGTGGATATCTTTTGGCGGGCCATTTTTTTCAGCCCTCCATAGGCGGTTATTTGTGGGTTTTACTTATCACCATAAACATAGTCCCCTGTAACCAACCAATCTATACCTTCTTAAAAAGCACCAGTCACTTACTCTGTGGGTAAACGTTTAGGAAGTAGCATCTTGGGAATTCAATTCACAAATGAAAGGAAGTAGAATGGGGAGGCAGCAACACAGCCAACAGTGAATGACCTCCCTTCCTAGCGCAAGCATCAGATGGAGACAGAGGGACTGGGGCTTTGGGTTGTTATGGGCTTGTCTTTTTACAGGTGGTAGGTATTAGAAATGGAGAATGATTTCATGATTCACCCACACTAATTTTTAGGATTTTCAGAGGAAGGACCAGAATAACATGTCAGTTTTATATGAAGAGAAGATTTTATTCCAAGGGCAATTATCAGGAAAAGTGAAACTACGGAAAGGGCAGGGAACAGTGAGTGGGCAGGTAAAATAAAAGCAGCACAGACCTGAGTCCATCTGCCACCAGGAAACCCGAAGGGGCATGTCCTTGAGCTGCCAGAGAGTGGAGGCTGTGGATGGTGGCTGGGATGGGCCCAGTGATGGGGAAGGCAAAACAGGTAAATCCTGTGATGCTGACTCCAGCTGGAACCCCCGTATCCTAATGTCCTTTGGTACTTCAGTAGCTAATAACCCTGGCAAGGAATCCACTCCTCTCCCTTACATCTCCTGCTGCTGCCCAGTGGCCGCGCCCTGGCCGGGTTCCCGCATGCCCAAGAAAAGGCACTGGGATAGAAAGCTGCACAGTTTCAATCCCACCTTTCTCCCCCTAACATTCTTCAGCCTGTGTTTCTTCATTTGCAAAATGGTGATACATAACTCCCAAGGTTGGGGAAAGGGTGGGGCGCAGAGAGAGGTGTCAGTAAATGCTTGAGAACCCGAATGGGTGATTTGGGTACACGAAGGTGTGAACAGTGTTCCCAGTGAACAGTGTCCTCCCTGCACCACAGTATTGTCCTTTTGCCAAATATCATGGATTTTATTTACCAGTGTAAACCTGGTAACTCCACTAACTTGGAGTACCTAGGGGAAAAAAAGCAAACATAATTCCTTCTAAAATGTCACTCACGATGTTCTCTCCTTTTTACACTCTCTTTTCCAGATGGTAACAAAAAATAATCCAGATGGGGTGCAGATGCTGTAAAATGATACAAAGGTAAAGTTGAAAACATGCCTCATCGGAATGGAGGAATTCGTGATTACCATGGAGGCACTTTTAGAGACCATGCGTGGATTCCATTCATTGATCCAGTTTGGGGCATGACCAGCATTGCCAAGAAATTGAGAGTTTGCAATTTTTCTGATATCATTAAAGAGGACCTGTGGCCTCAATGTTTAAACTTTTTTTGCTCACTGCTTACAGCATGTTGGGACCACCATCATGCTCTGAGACTGAATTTGGTTTGGGTTGAATTTCCATTTCTCCAGAGAGCCTCAACACACAGAAAAGCTTGGGTTTCAGAGGCTGCCTGAAATGGCATCACTGAAAATAAGCACCCCATCACCTATGTGCTTTTAGTTTTGTCCAGATTCTATTCCATTTATAATGTAGGTAACTAATATAGAATTCTACATAAAATAAAGGGAAAATATTAACTGATGATTTTGCTTCCTTAACAAATAAAATTACCTTTATTATTCTAGCCCTCTTCCATATCTATTTATCCATATATATGTATACACATACATACATAAAAATATTTTACTCCATTATAATCATAATGTTTGGCTTTATTCAAAAAATGTTTATTGTAATAACTATTTATTGTAAGTATCTTTCATGCTAGTCCAGATTTCATATTTATTGTTTCAATGACTGCATAATATTCCATTGAGGGGATAGACTGTCAATCCTTAAGCACTCATTTCCCTGTTATCAGACATTTGTTTTATGTATTTTTTTAATTCCATGAACCACTCTGTACTTTTATCTTCTTCCTATCCTCTTTTGGATCTCTTCTTGAGATCTATTTCCACTGGTAGAACATTTTTATACCTACTGTCTCTTAATTGATTTGGACATACACATAGACTTAAAAGAGTAATCACAGAAATCAAGTCAATAGGAACAGTAGAAAGAAGTGGAGCCTGTAGTAGAAAGTACTAATAATGGAAGCTAGTTATTAATAAAGTTATTAATAAATAAAGCTGATTAATAATTAAGCTGCCTCACTGCTTACTCTTCTTGCCTCCAGCTATCTCTTTGATCCAGTTCAAGTGCCCTCCCCTGGCTACGTCAACGAAGTCAATAGCTGCAAGTTAGATGAAGAAGACACTGTTAAATTAAAACGCAAACAGAGCAGTGAGGTCCTGGTGCATAAAAATGACCTTTGGGGTGATGGCTTGAAGAGGGCTGCGAGCAGAAGCAGAGCGGGAGGTCCGCAGCAACCCTGCCAGCCTCACCAAGGGCCGCTCCCTCAGGGGGGTACCGGAGGGGACCACTGTGTGGAGAAGACAAGTGGTGCTGTCAATGGCCTTGGCCCCGCGGCCGCCCTGCCTCCCGCCGGGGATCCTGGGCCCCACCAGGATGACAGAGGCTTCTGGGCCAGTACCACGAACAGCGTTCACCCGACTCAACCCTTCCTTGAAGGAGGGGATGCCAGGGAACAGGGCTGTGTGCCGCCGGCCTCGGAGGAGACCCAGATCCTCCGAAATGGGGACTCCAGGGCTCCCACCAAGGCAGAACGTCCCGCTTTGGAAGTACAAGACCCTGTCCTCCAGATACCGGCCCCGGATTATCCTCAGCTGTGGGACTCAGCTGGAGACAGTGTTGACCATGAAGAAAAGGACTGTCTCTTTCAGAGCCATGGTGAGGAGCCGCCCCTGAAGGGAATTCACCCCAGGGCTGGGGAGCATGGTTTGAATATGTCCCTGTCCATGAAGAGAAGCTGGGATTCATTAAATGAGGCTGGCACAGCAGAAGTTCTGGGTGTCTATTTTAAAGAAGAGTCCCCTGCTCAGGCCGTGGCTGTGCTCGATTTGAGAAACAGGTGGGAGGATGTCCACGGCTCCACCACAGACAGAGGTGGGGAGATGGCAGAAGAGGACGCAGCGGTGGCCGAAGCCCTTGCGGCTTTAGAAGCAGCTACTGCTGGAGAAGATGTGGATGAGACAGATTAGGGGAGGGATTTAGCACAGACAAATAAACTAGCATCGCACTGCACATGCGGGCATGAGTCCCTACCTGAGATACAGATGCTCTGTGCATGCGCTAGTGCTGCCTCCCGGCTGTGGGTGGACACGCAGCATCTGTCCTGCTGGCAGTGAGTGCCTGTGCCACACCACTGCGTCCACACTGAGAGCATCACTCGGTAACTGGGCTGTCACTGCAGACACCACAATTAAAATCAGGGAGGGCTGATATGCCTGTGCCCACAGCACATGCAGAAATTAAACAGCCTGTTCACCAGCCTACAGAGCTCCCCCTGAACACCTGGTTCTGGATAATTTTGAGAGTGCTCTGAAATCCCAGGGCTTGATCCCCACGGCACAGATCACAGAGCATTGTTTGACCATAAATTATCCATCTTGCTTTTGAGAGCCATATTGCACCCAACCTGGAAAAGGTAACTTACACATATAAAAGTGCCTAGTGTGTTTCCAGAGCATGCCTTACCTTCAGTGACAGTCCCCCGGAGAACTACTAACTAACCACTTGTTGGACAGTGAGGTAAGCTCAGCAGAAGGGTGGAGCAGAGGCCACCAGTAAACAAATGGTTAGTCATTAGCTGTGATACTAAGTCACCTTGACCTTAACTTTTTTACATTATTACTTTTTAATCTCCTTTGGGATTGGGGAGGCCAGTCAAAATAATTCTTAAAACCACTTATATCGTATTTGGGCTTTAAATTCATGATATTTGGAGGAGCAGAGATAGGTAGAGTGTTCTATGCCATTTAATGTCTGATTCTGATTAAAAAATAACATGTGCGTCTGTCTGGTTGTTTTTTCATTGAAGTGTAGTTGGTGCACAATCTTATATTGGTTTCAAGTATACAACACAGTGGTTTAACAGTTACCCATATTATTAAATCCTCACCCCAAGTAAGGCCGTTACTATCTGTCGACATAGGAAGATGTTACATCATTGGCTGTATTCTCCATGCTGTACTACCATCCCTGTGACCAGCTTATATTATGATTGAGAATTTTTGTGCCCTTTTATCCCCCTCACCCTCCCCATCCACCCATCCCAACCCCTCCCCCATGGCAACCAACACTCACTTCTCAGTGTCTTATAAATTCACTACTATTTTCTTCATTTTGTTGTTTTGTTTTTAGATTCTACAAATAAGTGAAATCATGTGGTGTTTGTCTTGATCCACCTGGCTTATTTCACTGAACATAATACCCTTTAGGTCCATCTACTCTGTTGCAAATGGCAGGATTTTTTTCCTTTTTTATGGCTGAATAATATTCTGTTGTATGTATGTACCACCTCTTCTTTATCCATTCTATTGAAGGACACTTTGGTTGCCTGCATATCTTGGCTATTGGATATAATGTGGCAATAAACACAGGGGTGCATCTATCTTTTTGAGTCAAAGATTTTGTGTTTTTTAGGCTCAATTCCTGGAAGTAGAATTACTGGGTCATATGGTATTTCTATTTTGAGTTTTTTGAGGAACCTCCATATTGCTCTCCACAGTGACTGAACCAATTTACATTCCCACCAACAATGTAGGAGAGTTCCCTCTGCTCCACATCCTCACCAACACTTGTTATTTCTTATCTTTTGGATAGTGGCCATTCTAAGTGGTGTGAGGTGGTATCTCATTGTGGTTTTCATTTGCATTTCCCTCATGATTAGCAATGTGGAGCATCTTCTAATGTGCCTGTTGGCCATCTATATTTCTTCTTTGGAAAAATGTTAGGTCCTCTGCCCATTTTTTGACTGGGTAATGAGTTCTTTGGTATTGAGGTGTATAAGTTCTTTATATATTTTGGATGTTAACCTCTTATCAGATAAATCATTTATGAATATATGTCTCTATACTGTAGGCTGCCTTTTTGTTCTGTTGATGGTGTCCTTTGCTATACAGAAGCTTTTTAGTTTGATGTAGCCCTTCTTGTTCATTTCTTACTTTGTTTCCCTTGTCTGGGGAGATGTCTCCAGAAAAAAATTGCTCATGATTTTGTTTAAGAGATTTTTGCATATATTTTCTTCCAAGTGTTTTATGGTTTCATGTTTTACATTTAGGACTTTGATCCATTTCAAGTTTACTTTTGTGTATGGAGTTAAACAGTAATCCAGTTTCATTCTCTTACATATATTCGTCCAGATTTCGCAACACCAGTTACTAAAGAGACTGTCTTTTCCCATTGTATATTCATGGCTCCTTTATTGTATATTAATTGGCCATATAAGCTTGGGTTTATATCTGGGCTCTCTATTCTGTTCCATTGATCTATGGGTCTGTTCTTGTGCCAGTACCATATTGTTTTGATTAGTGCAGCTTGGTAGCATAACTTGAAATCAGGGAGTATAATCCACCCCCCAGCTTTGTTCTTTATCAGAATTGCTTTGGCTATTTTGGGTTTTTTGTGATTCCAATGTATTTTAGGATTATTTGCTCTAGTTCATTGAAAAATGCCTTTGGTATTTTGATAGGGATTGCATTGGATCTGTAAATTGCTCTGGGCAGGATGTCATTTTGACAATATGAATTCTTCCTATCCTTGAGCATGGGATAGATTTCCATCTCTTTGTGAATTTAATTTCTCTCATGAGAGTCTTAGAGTTTTCAGAATACAGGTCTTTCACCTCCTTGGTCAGGTTTATTCATAGGTATTTTATTTTTTTGGATGCAATTGTAGATGGAATTATTTTCCTAGTTTCTGTTTCTGCTACTTTGTTGTTAGTATATAGGAATGCAACAGATTTCAGTGTATTAATTTTGTATCCCACAACTTTGCTGAATTCAGTTATTCTAATAGTTTTTTTGGTGGAGTGTTTAGGGTTTCCTATATCATGCATCTGCAAAATTTGACAGTTTAACTTCTTCCTTACTAATTTGGATGTCTTTTTTCTCTTTATCTTGTCTGTTTGGCATGTCTAGGACCTCCAGTACTAGGTTGAATAAAAGTGGTAAGAGTGGACATCCTTGTCTTGTTCCTGATCTTAGAGGCAAAGCTTTCAGCTTTTCACCATTGAATATGATGTTAGCTGTGGGTTTGTTGTTTATGGTCTTTATTATGTTGAGGTACATTCCCTTTATACCCATTTTGTTGAGAGTTTTTTTTATCATGAATGGATGTTGAATTTTGTCAAGTGCTTTTTCAGCATCTATTGAGATGATCATATGGTTTCATCCTTCTTTTTGTTAGTGTGGTGTGTCATGCTGATTGATTTATAAATATTGTACCATCTTTGCATTCCTGCAATAAATCCCAATTGGTTGTTCTGGATGATCCTTTTGATGTATTACTGAATTCAGTTTGTTAATATTTGATGAGGATTTTTGCATCTATGTTCATCAGGGATATTAGTCTATAATTTTCTTTTTTTGTAGTGTCTTTGTCTGATTTTGGTATAGCAATGCTGGCCTCAGAGAATAAGTTAGGAAGTATTCTCTCTCATTTTCTGGAATACTTTAAGGAGGATGGATATTAGCTCTTTAAATGTTTGGTAGAATTCAGCTGTGAAGCTATCTGGCTATGGATTTTTGTTTGTTGGGAGTTTTTGATTACCAGTTCAATTTCATTACTGGTAATTGTTCTGTTCAGATTTTGTTTCTTCCTGGGTCAATCTTGGAAGGTTGTACTTTTCTAGGAATTTGTCCATTTTTTCTAAATTTCATTACTGGTAATTGTTCTGTTCAGATTTTGTTTCTTCCTGGGTCAATCTTGGAAGGTTGTACTTTTCTAGGAATTTGTCCATTTTTTCTAAGTTGTCTAATTTATTGGCATATAATTTTTCATAGAATTCTCTACTAATTCTTTGTATTTCTGTGGTATCCATTGTGACTATTCCTTTTTGTTTCTTATTTTGTTTATTTGTGTCCTCCTTTTTTCTTGATAAGCCTGGCTAAGGGTTTGTCTGTTTTCTGTGTCTTCTCAAAAAAACCGACTCTTCATTTCATTGATTTTTGTCTATTGTTTTGCTCTTTTCTCTTTTATTTATTTCTGCTCTGATCTTTATTACATCCCTTCTTATAAGTTTGGATTTCATTTGTCCTTTTTCTAGTTTATTTGATTGTGAGTCTGTTTATTGGGGTTGTTCTTGTTTCTTCAGGTAGGCCTGTCTGGCTATGTACTTCTCTCTTAGAACAACTTCTGTGGTATCCCACAAATTTTGGACTGTTGTGTTTTTGTTTTCATTTGTCTCCATGTATTATTTGATTTATTTGATTTGATCATTGATCCATTGATTATTTAGAAGCAGATTATTTAGTCTCCATGTGTTTGTGGACTTTTTAAAATTTTGTTTGTGTAGTTTGTTTCTAGTTTCATACCATTATGGTCTAAGAAGTTGCTTGATACAATTTCAATCTTTTTGAATTTATTTAGGTCTTTTTGTGGCCTAGTATGTGATCTGTTCTGGAGAACATTCTAGGTATACTTGAGAAAAATGTGTGTCCTGCTGCTTTTGGTTGGAATGTTCTGTAGATATCTGTTAAGTCCATTTACTCTAATGTGTTCATGCCTCTGTTTCATGATTGATTTTCTGTCTGATCTGTCCATTGCTGTAAGTGACATTTTAAAGTCCCAAATATGATTGAGTTTACAGTCTATTTCCTGCTTTAGTTTTGTTAGTATTTGTCTTATATACTTAGGTGCTCCTATGTTGTCTGCATAGATGTTTATAATTGTTATATCCTCTTGTTTGACTGACCCCTTTATCATCATATAATGAACTTCTTTGTCTCCGGTTACTTTCTTTGTTTTGAAATCTATTTTGTCTAAGTATAGCTACTCCTTTTTCTCCATATTATTGCATGAAATATCTTTTTTCATCCCTTTATTTTCAGTCTGTATATGTCTTTAGGTCTGAAATGAGTCTCTTGTAGGCAACATACAGATGGGTCTTGTTTCTTTATCCATTCTGCCACCCTTTGTCTTTTGATTGGTGCCTTCAGTCCATTTTCATTTAAGGTAATCATTGATAGATATGTACTTATTGCCATGTTATTAATGTTTTCTGGTTGTTTTTGTAGCTCCTCTCTGTTCCTTTCTTCCTGTACAACTCTTCTCCTGTTATTTGATGGTTTTCTTCAGTTTTGTGATTGGATTTCTCATTTTTAATATTTTTGTCTATTTATTATAGGCTTTAGGTTTGTGGTTATCATAACATTCATGAATAGCTTCCTAACTATATACAGTCTATATTAAGTTGATGATCTCTCTATTTCAAACACACTCTGAAAGTATTTCTTTTTTCTTCTTCTTCCTCCTGCATATTTTCTGTATTAGATGTCATAATCTGCATTTTTTGTGTATCCTTGACTGATTTTGTGTATAATTGGTTTTACTACTTTTGTTTTAATTTCATACTTGCTTGGTAAGTAATTGGTCTACTACACCATTACTGTGGGTTTATTTTTACTGGTGGAAAACTATTTAAGCTAAAGAACATGTCCATCTACAGGAGTCCCTTTAACATAACTTGTAATAATGATTTAGTGGTGGTAAATTTCTTCAGCCTTCATTTACCTGGGAAATTTTTTATCTCTCCTTCAAATTTGAATGATAATCTTGCTGGGTAGAGGATTCTTGGTTGAAGGTCCTCCTTCTGTTTCAATACATTATTTCATGCCACTCCCTTCTGGCCTGTAAAGTTTCTGCTGAGAAATGTGCCAATAGCCTTATGGGGCTTACCTTATAAGTAATGGTTTTTTCCTCTCTGGCTGTTTTCAATACCCACTCTTTATCCTTAATCCCTGTCATTTTAATTATTATATATCTTGGTGGTGTCTTCCTGGGGTTCCTCTTGTT